TCCGTTCTACTCTTCGCTGATGACACAAAAATTTGGAGACCCATACACAGTATGTCGGATAGGATAGTATTACAGAATGATCTTAGCTCATTGGTGGCATGGCTGGACAGTTGGTCACTAGAAGTAAATCCTAATAAGAGTGTAGTGATGCAAATAAATAGCTATGATGAATCGGATCAATACACAATAGGTGGATTCGTACTACCCAAAGTAAGAAACTATAAAGATTGAGGAGTTATATTAAGCGGTTGAAGCTACAACAGGTATTCAGAGTTTGACAACGCTTTAACAAGTAACACCTTCTAATATGAAGCGTACCCACCAAGTGAAATCAAAAAACAGAAGCGAGGAAGTTCGAAGATATATTTGATATGCTATCAATATATCGAGAATCGTCTGATCTAATCTGGCTAGCGATTGCAGGGGTTGTTGAGCACGGCGTTACCACACGTGATCTGATGCTGATGCATGATCGAGCGCCTACAGCTAAGTGAGTCTATTAAAACATGTGGTCAGCATCCAATGTCGAAAACTTACAGAGCTATTTATTTTGGGGATTTATTTACCGCTACAGATCACTCGCCCCCCTAGTGGGATAGTGATAACCTAAAAGACGTGGCCAGCCAGAAGCTTGAAATCAACGAGTTTCGTCGTTGGTAAACACTCTTCTGATAGCTTGCTAGGTTTATCAGCGTCTGGTCGTCTTTCCTTACTATAAGGGGCCATGAAATACAATCTAGTAAGAAAATAATGTACAACGAAAATTTTGGTTCCTCGTAAACCTCGTCGTTCTTTTAATCGTCTTTCCCAGCCGTCTTGGAAAAGAAAAAGAAAATGTAAGTGCATGTCGAAATAAACCCGTACTCACTTTAAGACACAAAATGGGCGAAAAATGCTTAAAAAACGTAAAGGCGAATTTTACAAAATGTTTTTTTGGTTTTTTTAAAGAAAAAACTTTTTAGCATACCTACTTCTCCAATAATAAATATATACAAATATAAGCATATAAAAATTGATTTTTTATATTATATATAATTCCACGTAAAATCTAGATCAAGTAAAATGTTAACTAGTGTCTTATGTGCAATAGTCGTTCTGGAAATCTCACTCTTCTTCCAGAAAGCGCCGTTTTAAGTTTGTTTTCAGATACATTCGGAGTACCATCGCTGGTGTTGGTTGTCGGATTGGGCATTATAAGTGTTGGAATCGTGTCGCTCGATTGTACCGAAGGAAAATCGACGTAGATAGGATTTCCTTCTAAATATGCTGCTTTGAGGCGATGGATGCTGATGCTCTCGTTAGTTCCGATTATACAGCACTTAGGTTCGCGTGGAAGAACTTTGAAAAGTCCTTCGTATGCTGATTCGAATGGTCGTCGATGAGAGTCTCGACGTACGAAAACGTGTGTACTATATCGTAAGTCAGGTTGAACGAAAACATCGGTTGATTGTGGCCGAGTGGAAGCAGGTTAAACTGAACGTATTGCGTTTGTAAGCCTGTTCGTGTAGGAGGTTAGATCCGTGTTCATTGAAGAGGATGAAGGATCCTCGAATTCTCCTGGAAGTCAGAGTGTCGTTCCATAAACGAGTTGAGCCGCAGTGTATCCAATGTCAGCTTTCACTGCATTGCGGATACCTAGTAAGACAAGTGGAAGAGCGTCGGTCCACTGAGAAACGTTTGAAGCTGAAAGTGAAGATTTTAGTTGTCGGTGAAAACGTGCTACTGAACTGAAGTCCGCGGTCTGTAGTGATAGCTGAAGCGCAGCCGAAGTTTGCCACCCATCGTCCGACGAAGGCGCGGGCCACTGTTTCAGCAGTGATGTTCTTGATTGGTACTGCTTCTGGCCATCGAGTGAAATGGTCTACGCAGGTTAAAAGATAAAATTATCCATTTGAATATGGTAAAGGTCCTACCAAATCCAGATGAACATGGTCGAAACGAGCATTGGGAGTTTTAAATGAGCCTAAGGGACATTTATTGTGTCTGATAACCTTAGATTTTTGGCAGCTTACACAGGAGCGTGCACACTCTCGCCGTGAAACATGCGTAATTGCTTGACGGTGGTCGGTTCTGGGTAATTCAGAATTGCCGCCACTTTGGTTCTAAGGGGTCGACTTCCTTGAGCGTCTATAGTGTGTCCTAGGAAGTCTAATGAGTCAGTTCCGATTTGGCATTTCTGAATGTTAACAGTAACGCCATGTTTTTGTAGTCGTTGGAAAACAAGATTCAGATGCTTGAGATGCGATTCTCTGTCCGGACTTGCGATTAGACAGTCGTCAACACACGCATGTACGAAGTTGAGACCTCGAAAAACGTCGTCTATGAATCTTTGGAATGTTTGGGCAGTGTTTCTGAGACCGAAAGGCATTTGCGAAAATTCATGGAGTCCGAAGGGAGTAATAATAGCTGTTTTCGGCATGTCGTCAGTGGCCATAGGGATTTGGTTATACGCTTTAACCAAGTCGATCTTCAAAAAAACAGCTGTACCTTTCAAGGTAGCTGTCAAATCGTGAATGTGAGGCAACGGGTAACGATCGGGAATGGTTTTCGCGTTCAATCGCCGATAGTCGCCAGTTGGACGCCAATCGTTGCTGTCCTTTTTAGGGACCATGTGCAACGGAGATGCATATGGGCTATTTGACGGTCGTATGATCCCTAAGTCTATCATGTGATCGAACTCGTTTTTCGCCAACCTAGCTTTTCAGGAGCTAGTCGACGTGCTTTAGAAAATACAGGTTGTCCTGTAGTCGTGATGTGATGTGTAACGTTGCTGGTTACACACAGTAGTTTCGGTTGAGTTTGTTGTATCCCAGGGTACTTATCGAGTAGTGGTTGATAGAGTGGGTCTATCATATGCTTAATTGTGACTGGGGATAATCTACAACCAGAAAAGGAAGTTACGCAAACGGACAAATTAGTGTTTCCGTCTACTAGCCTCCGTTTGCGCGTGTCGATGATCAGATTATGGTGTTATAGAAGATCCATACCAATGATTGGCATAGAAACATCTGCAACAACGAAGATCCAGTTAATGGGTTTGCGTAAACCCACGTTAAGGTAAACGTACCTTTTGCCATACGTAGCGACAGGTTTTCCGTTTACCGCCTGTAAGTTTGAAGTCGATTCGTGAAGCCGGTCGTTAGGATTCGCTGGGAGAACGCTAACTTCTGCGCCAGTGTCGACGAGGTAGCGAACTCTCGTTGTCACATCTGTGACGTACAACAGACGGCTATGTTCGCCAGCTACGGTTGCCGTTAACGCGTGCCGGCTTGGAAGTTTCCCGAGTTGTTTTTCGAGTCAGTCGGTTTCGTGTTGGGAAAACTGCAGGGTTTTCTGCAATTTCTGGAAGACCTTCCATACTGGTTATGATACCAGCATCAGTCGGAGCTACCCGTCTCATGGTTTAGAGACAGGTCGCTTGCGTGAAGTGCTTCTACGTGGGGTGTGTGATGGCTTACGGTCGTTAAGAGAATTAAGATAACGCGCGATTGTATGAAATAACTCGGTTATGTCATTCTGAGTCCTTTGAGGCTTTTCTTTGACTGAAAAAACCTTTGTAGTAGAAGATTTCGTAATTTCCAAAATGCGGTCGGCAGATACAGATGGCTCGTCTAAGGCGTTGTTCTGGAACGAGACAAGCACAGTTTGCACCTGTTGAGGAAGTTTAGACAAGAAAAGTTGTTTGAATAGACCTTCGTCGAAAGCTCTTGAGCCTATAACCTCTCTCATCCGATGCAACACGTCCGTCGCAGAATCGTGTTGCTGCTCGATGTTATTGAAGAGTTGATCTAATCTTTGTCGATCGGTTAGGTCTCCTCGTTTAAGAATCGAACGTTTTAAGGTTTCGTAAGATTCAGACACATCACTAGTAAACATACTAGGTGTTACGTACCTGTTGAATTCCCGCAGTAGTGCCTTGACTACTGCGAGGAATTGTGCACGTGTGTCGATCACGCCGTACTCGGAGAAGTCAGCTTCTGCGTAGCAGAACCAGGCTTCGATATTGTCGGGCCAGAAAGGCATCAGTTGAAACGAGGGTGGGGACAAAGTCTTAAGCTTGAGTACTTTGGGTGTCTGTTCAGTCATGATGAAATATAAAGTACGATAATGAACGTGGGGAAAAATATATATATCCAAGAAAAAAACACGAAAAAAATCACAATGTTTAAAAAAAATAAAAAATAAGGCAATGGTATATAAAAATCCCAAACAGGAACAGACTCACAGTTGCAATTAGGTGTACCAGGTCACGTCGGTCTCATCAATGATGATGTCACAGGTATTCAGTGTTTGACAACGCTTCTACCAGTAACACCTTCTAATATATTTCGTTCCCACCCAGAGAAATCAAAAGACAGAGTCGAGGAGATCGGAAGAGTATATTTGGTGATTACCAATATATCGGAATTCTCTGATCTAATCTGGCTAGCGATTGCGGTAGATGTTGAGCACAGCATTACCACACGTGATCTGGTGCTGATGCATGACCGAGCGCCTTCAGCTAGATGAGTCCACTAAAACATGTGGTCAGTATCCAGTGTCGAAAACTTAGAGCTATTTATTTTGGGGATTTATTTACCGCTACACGTCTGGAGTTTCTTTTCTCTCACCGAGTAGTGAATTACTGGAACATGTATCAACATCTTCTGTTGATATATCCAAAACGAGATTGAACCTCCACAGTATTACAAACTGAAAGAATTAATATAGATCGATAGACCTCATATCCTTATTACTGAAGACCGAATACTCAAATCGGTCATTGAAGGTTAGGTATTGCCTCACTCTTTCAGACGTGCGTTACATATAGTCTAGCACATGCTTATTGGTATCACTTGCTAATCGCTTTCAGCATTACGTTTAAGTTCAATCTATGTGCAAAATGCTTCATTGAGTCTATGTTTTTGTCTTTTTTCGTTTAGGTGCATAAATAATTTCTTCACATTATCAACAACTAACTCTCAACCAGCTAATAAACCCTCCAATTTGTTTTTATAAACATGCCGAAAAAGGTAGCAAAAGTTGATAGCGTTGACACAACCAAAGAAATTTTAAATCTTGAGTTAGAAGGATATTCACCGGGTATTAGTGATCGTGATAGCATTACAATCTTGTTGAAACATCTTTTCCCTAACGACTGTGTTATCAATGTTGAGAACCTTGCCGAATATATTGTGTCACAAGACTCAATTGGTACTGTAGTTAAACCTACATGTGATGATGAAAGCGATGATGATGATGACGATGATAACATAGTGTTTGCAGTGACCAGCGTGGTAGATTTAAGCCATGAGTCAGCTGTGAAACACTCCGTAGTCAAAGATCTTAGGAACTTCATCCTTGAGGGAGTTAAAAGTTCGAAAAACGTTCCGGCGAGATGTAAGGTCGAGGAGCTTCTTGAGAAGGATATGGACTGCAAATCATTCCTTCTTATTAATGAACGGTTCGAAAACCTACCACTTTCTATTTGTTCTGAAGCTATTTCTTCCTTACCATCTGAATTTAAATCCTCTGATTTACTCCCTACTCATCTCTTCATATTATCATGGGCATATTCAGAAGAAGTCAAAGACAGTGATAAGAAATACGAATATGCATATCCCGAAATCGAATTTGTTGTTCCCCATGCTCTACATGTATTGGAATTAGATCATAACAGTCTTACACTTCATAGTGCAAAAAAGAAAAAAAGTAATGATGGCGATGATGATGAAGGAACAAACGACTTTAGTACTTTGTTATTGATAATTATCCCAATGGATAGATTCCATGACATGTTAACTTCCTTGGCTAGTCACGTGTAAATATACTGAGTTTGCAACTGTTGTTACTATTTTTGAAGGATATTTATCCGGGTATACCTTCCAAGATGGAATGAACTTTTCTTCGGTTTCAGGTCTTTTAGGGGACAAATACGTGGAACTATTGTGTAGCTTTAAGTGGTGAAAATTCCGTCAAAACGATATCTCGCCTCACTTTTCTTTCATATAGGAAGTTCTTAAAACTATCAGCAAATGGTTTGATCTGTTGTTTTGATTTCGTACATTCAGTCATTTCAAAAATATGTGACCTAACTTAGCAGTAAAAATAGTTCAATTATTTTCTCAGGCTCTTTGATTTATATGTTTTTTTTTCGACGTTAAATATCGTTGTAAGGGTAGATTGTTAGCTAACAATACAGGTTTGTTTTATATTGGTTTATAAATTCGGGACACGTTTGTTGATAGTAAATAAATGAGTCAACTGTTGAGTTATCGTCCTACAAACATTTCTAGTATCAGTTCCTACTCATTATATACAAAATTTTGACACATCCTATCTTGATTAGAAAATGAAGGGATGAATAAATAACAAAATAAAAGCTTGATGTCATTTTATGGCTTACAAGTTGAGAACGTTTAGATGTTAAATGAAGTCGTGAGATTAATGATCCGAACATGGGTCAGATAAGTGGAGGGAAATAATGGTGCACCTAATAATCCGACTAAATTTTTAGTGGAAGACTATGTTGTCCATAAAGTCATACAAATTCAGTGAGTAATAAAGCGAGGTTAGTGCTGAGTAAATTAATCATGTGCTTGGAAGATTAATCGTGACGTTGAACCAATAATAGCAATAATAACACAAAGATGTATGAATAAGAGTAAAGGGAACTATATTTGACACAGAAAGCTTGTATCTGCATTAGTCAAACTAAATTATCCTATTGTTAAAGTTCCTAGTGATTTATTAGCCACTCGGTTGGCCAAGGTAAGAGGAGTTGAATATATCTCCTGTGCACAGCTCCGGTTTTGTAATCCAAATGACTTGCTTCTGCGGTTTGGAGGACTTTGAGTCGGACCGACGTTTGCACAAGATTACTAACCCGGTAAACTACTAAGAAAGATTTACTTACACTAGCGCTATTACCAGTTTGCACTAGATGGTCCACTATTGAGCTGTTTACTGTCTTAACTACACCTTTGCTTAGCCGTTCAAGAACACAAAAATTTAGATTCATGAAACTTCGACTAATATAACTTGCTTCACGAATTGATGAATGCAAAACGAGTTAGTTATTCTAACTTGTTTATCTTACAATCTCGAAGTGACCATCAAACGTGTAGGAAACATTAACTGTGACTTCATTGCATTAAAGGTTGCACTGTGTAACTTTGGCATCAGCATTCCATTAAGTACATCATCTCTAAATTGTAGGCGTACATACATAGATGTTTTGCTCTCAGTTAAGACATTATTCTCTATCTTCCTGGCTAAATGATATCGATGATTCAATCACAACGTAGAACCTAGTACATATGTACATCGGTCCAAGTTGTCATACCAATTAACACAAATGAAATTGTTAGGCCAAATCCCAGGTAGTAATAGAAAGGATTAGACACGGGACGTGCGATTCTTGAGCTCTAGTTAGGCGTCGAAATATCATCAAAGCTAATATTTTAGACACTATATAAGTTAAACTTATTCCTTTATTATTGTCAGTAGGGAATTTTTGTCCTTTCTAATAGATCTACGACCAACGATCGAGACCGGTCTGGTGAGATTACCTTAGCAATGGTACTTATAAATTGTGATTCGGTTGGATATATTTGTATGCTAATGTACGGAGATTCTTGTGTAGCCATGTATGTGTTCTCGCAAAATTTAGTGATTGAATACATAGTAGAAATGAAAGTTCTCGCCTCTCTTCCTACTTAAGTTTACAAATACATTATTCCAGTGCTTCCAGGTTTTCAATGGTGGTCTAGCTTCAACTGACTCATGATTTCAATCTGTGAAATACATTGTGTCCGTTAATTGTCAATAAAGATGAAACGTGAAACATGTAAGGTTTTATACTAATTGCTCTCAAATGTGGAAAATATTCCTTTCAGCACTGTGTAGTATTGAGCTACTTTTAATTAAGTGGTCACAATGCAGATCTAGTCAATAGATTTAGGTCTTCACTGGGAGTAGTGATTATTATTATTATCCTCTTTTGCAGTTTCCACAGCAGCAAAACTAAGTAGTGTAATTGGTTTCACGTCCATATACAAGTACATACAGACAAGGCGAATGTAAGGCGGTTAAATATATGGAATTATGGCTTAGTGGTTAATGCATTCGACTTTCTACTGCTAAATCCTACGTTCAAAGGAAAGTATATAAATCATTATCAGTTGAATGAGTTAATAACAATAATAAATTGTCTGCAAGCTAGTGTTACGCGAACGACAATACATTAACCTTATTCCTAAAAAATACGCACCCTTGGAAATGTAAGACAATAGTATTAATGGATGACGTTTTATTAATATGGTACAGTTAATAATTTTATATTGATTTGTAAAGAAGCATTGAACTCAGATTGTTATGGAAATAAAAATGGCCAAAGTAATACACTTAACAAGAAAAGATGAAATAAATGTATGACTGAAAAATGAAATGTAATGATCAATTTGATAAAGGAAGCTATAGATTTCTCAAATGATGGAGAGAATTTGTAGTTTAGGTGAGTACTTCTGATCGTGTTGTGTTTTCAAAGCTCTGTGCTTCAGTTGCGAGGTTTTCGTTGTTATTCTCGACCACACGACTAGGGCTTATTAAGCCTCGAAATTTTGGTGTTTTTTCTATCGAGTTTTTCTGTGTCCATTGCATGTGAAGATTCAAATAATGCGAAGGAATATTTGGACGCATCCGAATCGATGTAGACCCCACTTATCAATGTATACAATGTGTTGTATTGAAAGGTCAAAAAGACAAGACTCAACAGAAACACGAGAAAAAATGAGGCTGACGAGACGTTCAAAAACATTTATTCACAAAAAAGTTGATTTAAAGTTTGCGGAATAATTAATATACTTCTATAAAAACTACGCTTTGTTGGTGTCGTCTAGAAGGACGACAAAATCTTCACAGTGCTCGGAGAACAGCCTAGACCTAGAGCTAATCAACGTTTTCATTTCAAGGATTAGATTTCAAATACAAAGCTCAGTTTAGATTAGACATGGTATAGTTTTGGTTAGTGAGAAAGTCAACAAGATGCAGACTCCTGTTAAAGTCGTGAATAACAACACAAAGTGTCTGATTTATTGCCTAATGATTGGTTGCAAGAATGGTTATTTAACAATAGAGAGGGAAGTAGTTAGTTGTACTATCCACTTTGATTTTATCAATTTTTCGTTTTTTAATGTTTAACCAAATCTTGGGACAGTTACGGGGAGTGTGCTTGGTGTTCGGTAATCTGTCTGTGTATAAAAGAATGGCTATATCATACAGCAGTTAGCCATGCTAATTTATACAGCTGTGTGATGTTACACTCAAAAGTAGTATATATATGTGTACTACACTTAACAGCATAGAATTAACTTGATAAAAAGCAGGTTGTAGAACCGGATCAGTGTATGATATCTTCTGACGGACTTATTGACTGCTGATCAAAGCCGTGTTTTTAAATGCAGACTTCCTGGTTGTAAGACAATCGAGCTTTGTGGTTGGAGACCTTAAATGGCATTGATCAACATTTATTTCAATGATGTGTGATATATTTATTTTCTATATTTGTCTAAAATTGGATATCCCGTACTTTACATTCAGAAATTGCCGTCAATTACTTTTTGAGCTATGGTTACAAATGTTTAATTTTTCATCATCACTAAAACAATTGTGTTAACTAGTTTTGCTAAAAATTCAATTAATCTCGTTTCATTTTCTTTAGTAAGAATTGTAGCAATTTGATTTTATCCAGGTTTACAGTTTATATTCCGTTTTGTTTATCTAATATTGTTTAGTTCATCAATTTATTTCGGTTGCACATATCTAAAACTTTTCATTTCATTAAACTACATTTAATAATCATTTTGACTCTGTGTGTACCAGGTCTATTCATTTGTAATAGGAACGTAAAACCTAGAATAGATAGCTATCATTCAAAGTCACTATAATTCATGTCAATAAAGCAAGAGCAAATTCACAGTACGAAAGTAGTCGGATCACCAACATTATCAGTGCCGAAGATATTGTCCAGAATGATAATTAATAAATAGCATTAATGCTATCAAGTTTATGCTATCCCAAAAGAAGTTGTACATGGTTGTGTTAAAGCGTTAATATTACAGATTGGCAAAAACAATTTACCCTCTCTTCTGTTGTCCAAGCATTAAAACTCAAAGCCAAATAAAGTGTATACTTGTTAAGTATAGATATCAACACACACCAAACAAGAGGAAATAAGGCTGTAGATGAGCATTAATAAGAGCGAGCATCAAAATGGTGCTTATTAACCAAGGCGAACGTCAGAATAGGTGATAAGAATTTATAGGTCGTGGAATTTGTCGCATTTTTACTTGCTATCCGTTCATCTCTATGACCAATGTAAAACGTAGTTCTTAAATATATAATGAAAAGTTTACTTTTGACAGATACTGTAATTTCCAAGCCTAGTAATAACTTGTTATTCTTATTAACTCAGTCATGTTATCTCATATACTTACTTTGAACAAGAAGGCTGAAAATATGGTTTACGTACTTAATAATTCGTAGTGATGTTCAAAACATGTACTTATTGAATAACTATTAAGTATTATTTCTCTATGGTATTATTTTCCTTATAAATTTCAAGGAATTCACCGTATCTGTCAGTAAATGTGAATGATTCAAATGGAACAGACTAGTCGAGCATTTTGAAACAAACTAAACTCTACTTCTGCCGGATGATTTGAAGTTTCTTTTAAATAATACGCTATCAATTCTGCCAATGTACAAACTACTCCAGGTAAGGATAATCGAAACTGGATTTAATCGAAGGATGTATGTTACTAAA